GAGACCCTTCTCCTACTGTTGATACTAAAAATCCTGCATGACCTTAGGATACTATAGTATCATTATTCCCAAGGTTTAGGGTATTTAGGGTCATGCAAGATTTTTAGAACCCTAAACCCTAAACCCTAAACCGTAGCACTGGGCCGCATTTCCGAGGCAAGGGCTGCCCGTCACTTGCGCTGCCGAGGGGCTGCCGCCCTGAGACTGAGGCTGCCTTTAAGGACCAAAGAAAGAGCATAGGGATTATGTAGGGTTATATAGGGATTATGAAAGGGTTGTGCAGGGATTATATAGGGCTATACAAGGATTACATAGGGTTATATAGGCACTATCCATGGTTAGTATATGGATTATATAGGGTTATGTAGGGATTATAGAGGGTTATATGAGGATGATTGTGTTCTGTAAGGATTATGCAGAGTTATATAAGGACTGTATGGGGATGATCTAAAGTTTTTATCGGGTGATAAAGGGATGGATCCACGAGGAGCCTATAAGGGTCCCTACAGAGGACCACATTGTAGGTAGGGATTGGTGGTTCCCTACAGTGCGGGTATTATTCATGCTCGTGGTGACTTTAGCAGAGGGTCCGGCAACAGCGGTGGTGGTGGATGGTTATGTAGACTATTGGGCACAGACGCTGGCAGGAAAAGGAGAACGATAGAACAAATCCAAGTAATTAGTATGCTTTGAGATGCGCTCGGCGTCTTTTTGAAGAGGCGACAACGGCAAGCTTTATTATGTGGGGCATGGTAGACCCAATGGCCGAATAGCACGAATTCTGATTTCGTAATCCTCAAAATCTTAGAGCCTTTTGCTGGTAAGCATCTCTTCACATTAAACCTACCACCCCGAACAACCCTACAGCTTTCATGAACTTGGAAGTCTACATAGTCTAACTCCTAGTATCCCGCTTAGTAACCCCTATAGTCGCTTTATGGAGTTTAGACTATAACTCAATACATACCCTAATAACTAAGCTGAAACACCCAATGTATACCCCATTATACTATAGTAGTCTCCATTTTACCTTCCATTTTCCCAATATACCCCCCATGTAACCCCTATGTAATCCCCATATAATCCCTATATAATCCTTACATCACTCTATATCATCCCCATAATCTCTTGTATAGGCCCCTTAAAGGAGCCTCGCTCTTGTCAGGGATTTCAAGGCCGCCCTCCGCGATGCTGTGGTCCTCATGGAGGTATCCCCAGGCGCGCCCGGATCAGGGGCTGTCAAAAATGACGATGCGTGTACGCTGTACCATAGTGATACTGCAAGACCAGATACTATGGTAGTCTATTTTCCCCCAAGATACAATGGTAGTTTCCATTTTCCTTTCCACTGTCCCAATATGACCCCAAGATACTACAGTAGTAGTCCCCTAGTTTTCTTCTGGAGATGTTTACAGGGATGAGTTTGAGATTAGTTTTGTTTTTCAATGGGTTCCTCCCTCAAAACTTCCCATAGTTGGGGCTTTCCTTGTGCACTAGGTTTCCTTTGTACTCTTGCTTGTGTTTCGAAGCTGCTAGATGAACGCAGTAGTGAACTCTTTCAGAGTGTGATTCTCAATGTGGAAGCGCGGTCTGAATTCATTTTCCTGAAGACCAATACGTATGCTAATTTCCAGAAACAGGGGATTCCCAAGAGGGTACCCTTCATCTTGGGAAACCCCCCCACCTTGTACGCCACTACATGAAACATCCAGTTTCTATTTTGTTTTCCATCTCCTCCTCCATTTGATTCTGCAAATTTGGGAATATCTGCCCCTATAACCCTATAATCCCTACATGACACCTTCTGTCATTCCCTCTTCCAGTTCCTGTCCTTTCCCCAGTGTGGTAACACGCAGTGTAAGGGGGAAAGACCTAAACGAAGAGATCCCTCGCCCCTAAACCCTAAACCCTGTATAAGCAAATTTGTAGAGCTCGGGGCTCTGGAATTTGGATCCATCCGTAGAGGTGTCTCGATGCCAACTTGATGTAGCCAATCCGATTTGTCACGGGATCACGGGGGTTTCTCGGGGCCTCCCATTTTCTTGGATGACAGTCTGGCTTTCCATCCTCTTGCTTCAAATTGTTGATGCACAAAATCCTGCATGACGCTACTTATAACTGGGATTATAACCCTACTTATAATTGGGGAAGCCGCTATAAGCCCATTTAGGGGGATTATAAGTGACCCTATGCACCCAAACCTCAGGAGTGATGGCATTTCAACCGTAAGGACTTGCTCTGCTACTACGCCAGCTGCCGGTTATACAAGCGTAATCCTCCGAATGATTGCTTGAACTCCCCTCCTTCTTGTTGCTGATGATACATAGCTGTTCCCCCCACTGCTTTCTGGAAAGTCACATGGTTATTGTTATCATCAAGCCTTAAAACCCAAACTATGCACCAACCCCTGATTAGATTTTGCGTTCTGGCGGCAATGGAACCTGAGGTGATGGAGAGCAAGAGGCCTGAGGGAGTCCAGAGCCAATCGGTTGCTTTGACAGAAGTAGGGCCAATGTATGTCATGCATCCTTGTTCCCCTCAAGTCCTCATTGATGGTTAGTAGGGCATAAGGGAATATAATCTCCATGTATGCTCTTATTCCCTACCAACCACCAGTAAGCATCCCTACTCCCCAAGTCCCAAGCTTTAGGTGTGCATTTGGATTTGCATCAGAGGGGAAAACGTTGACGAGATTAGGGTATACCAGCCGGCCAGACGTGTGGGCCGTGTGGGCTTTTGTCTGTTTACCTAGCAGGTTCACAGCCTGAGTATAGGTCCTGATCAGAATCCAGGTGCATCTGGGTGGGAACAAATTTGTGGTGGCTCCTGATATCTATCTTGATGATGTTTGCAAGGATGTTGTTGGAGTACGGCTTTTTTGACAGCTTTGCAAAATAATTGGATGAAGCGATGTCGGTGTTGTCTTGGCATGCGTCTGTGAGCTCAAAAGTAAAGTAGGATCCCGGCAGACGGTGTCCCTTGCACTTTCAGGATGGATTTCTGGCTTTTTTGGTTGTTCGGGTGCTGCACAGCAACAGTGGAGCAAGTGCAGCTCGAGAGAGCAGACGAGCGCGACCTGGACAATGACCAGGACGACCCCTACATTTTTCGCGGCGGACGCCCGCGCCACCCAAGACGCGACTGAGCGTGAGATGCCTGTTTCTGACCTGCATGCTGTCACCTGCAAGCGCAGCTGGGCTTTGTCGGCCTTTGGCATGGCAGCTTCCAGCGCGCGCGCCAAGGCGTTGGGTGAGCCGCTTGGTGGTGATGACTCTGACATCGCCACGCTGGACTTGGTACTGAAAGAGCCTAAGCCAGAGATGGCCAAACGCTTTAAGTGGCCAGTGCCGGCTGCAGAGAGGCAGAAGCTACTCCTGCAGGTCTGCAAGGCAAAGGAATGGCTGTCAAGCAGCAAGGTTGCTGAGACTCAGCATTTGTGATCTCTCGGCAACCGTCAACGGAGACAACTTGCGGGTTGTGTGTCTTACTATGCTGCAGCGGATGTTGCAACCCAGCTGTGAGGCGGTATATGGTGCGCACTTGCGTCTGCCATGTGAAGCCCTCGGTCTGGATACTTTGGAACTGGCCAGCACAGCGAGAAAGCGGAAGATTACCAAGAATGGCCTTCAAGTGAAGGGCCGCTTCCTCCGCACCAGCCCACCGACATGGAGGAAGGAGGGGAGATGTCAAGGCAGACAAAATTCTTGTCATGGGTGCAGTGACATCGACCGCTGCAGTTCGCGAAATCTTGATGCCGTGCACTGGAAGGCAGCCAAACAGCGCTTGCATCGATCCAGAGACGGCTGCTGCTCTCTGTGCTGCAATTCCATTCCAACTCTCGTGCCGCCTGGACCCGGTGTTTGATGGAACCACGAGAGCTGGTCGAGAAGTTGCAGGACGAAAAGCAGCGGAATGCAGTGACGGTTTCCTGAAGAAGCAGCGAAGCCCCTGCATGAAAAAAAGCTTCTGCACCTGGACTCTGGAACTGAATCCTGAACTACAGGTAAACCCTCCCTTTCCCCATCCCTTCCCTTGCCAAAGGTAGGTTTGCAAATTATTTTCAGGTTTTAGTACCCTTGATCCCCACCCCATCCGTTTAAAGCGCCGCGAAATAATTTTCCATGGGTCCTCCAAGCCTGCCCTTGTTCCCCCAGCCCCCCCTGCCAGTCCACCTCGCAGCTGGCGGCGGCTGCTGCATCTGGGCTGGGTGCAGATGCTACCGAGCTTTTGGAGGCAGCAGGGATAATGGAAAAGAACATGGAAACTACTATAGTATATAGGGGTTATATGGGAATAATGGACATGGAAATGGAAGCTACTGTAGTATATTGGCTTATAGAGGGATCATGGAGAAGAAGCTAAGTCAAATTGCACGCGGGTAA